GAAGAAAGGTCTGATCTGAAGTCATGACAAAGGACACCTTGGCCTAGTGACAATAAAGTGCAATTCCAAAGTAAGGCCATCACATACAGTCCCTGCACCTCAGCTACTCTGACAGGGTTAAAAACAAAAGCATTTAAAGCATTATTCTGCTATGAGAGAAGAGAGCAACCTACACATTTTCCCTGTTTGGATGGGAAATAACCAATACAATGAAAGTGCTGGAAGCAAAATCCTTAATCAGAGCCAGTGGGAGCTGAAGGACAAACACCCTCAGGTTGTAACGATTCCAACTATCCTTCCTCTGGCTGTTCCTATGCATTTTGTTTGATCAATTGATTCACCTTTGCCAGGGAACCGTTCTTGGCTCCAAATCTGGCAGGAGCAGCAAACTCTGCTCTCTCTCCTCTATTTCCACAGTGACAATGCACACCTGCCCCTCACACTCCCCTCTGGAAGGTCGCCAAGAAGCAGTGAATTTAAATTACTGGAGTTCAAGTGGGGCACAGAAACAAGGAATTTAAGCAGATAAGGAATATACTTTTCAGCTTCAAATACCAATTCTAAGTCATTCATTAGCAGTCATCTGCTTCCCCCTGCAGTTTTGGGAAGCTACTGCTGGATCCTGCATTCAAGGATTTGAATTTCAATTTAAGGTTGGAGTCCCCCCCAAAAAAAAAACATTTTTTCACATCTTGAAAAGAGCCAAACTGGCCCTGGACAGTTCAGAGGTCACAGAGCAACGAGCCCTGGCAAGACCTGGCCTATCCCTGCTCCCTGTAATCCGTGGGAAAGACACGTCAGCCTTTCTACTGCCAAATCACCATCTTTTCCCAAAATTGGAACCAGCACTTCCAGACACAAGGAAGGAGGTCAGAGCCCCCTCTGACAGCTTAAGTTAACATGCCAGACTAGCTGACTATTCCTGAGTGACAATATGTGCCGTTCACTCATCCTGCTCCAGAGGCAACGGCCTGGGGGAGAAAAAGTGGAGCTGACCACTGAATCCATCACCTCAAGTGGAAAAGGGCTCAATTTGACAGGAAAATGCAAAACTGAATACAGCATTTAAATCAGATAGCAGCACTCAAAGGAAGATAATTATATACTTTTTCACTCTTTGTATTAAATTGCCACCCAGCAAAAGACTTCTGTGTTTGCTTAACAACATAACTCAAAGAGTTATAAATCACACGGGGAGATTATAATTCCAGATTTTATTAAAATTCTTCTTACCAGCTCTTGGAATTAATTACTCTAGCAGATACAGATATACTTCTCAAATGTTCTCCTCCAAGCTTGGATTAACTCAGAAAATATAACAGGATGTTTTATTCTATTTTGCAAGCCATAGGACAAAGGCAGGTTTAGTCCAGCAATCCATCTTTTCTTCCAATTTGACCAAAACAATAAATATTTAGTGTAGGTGCTATACTGTCTACTGGATTCAGGTTATTAAAGCAGGTAATTTGAATAAGGGGATCACCTTTTATTATAGTTCAGAAGATTGCACTGTGACACCTTCGAAACCTGTCTTGCAAGTTTTATTGCTATACAAAATAATTGTGAGTGCTGATGAGAATTGTTAACAAAATATATATTCCTTATTGGTATTTATCATTAATTTATGTAATAAGTTTTACATAGTCACTTGGATTATCTTCTGTATTAATAATCTGGTTTTTTTGGTCCAGCCACGTAATTCTTCCTGGAAAGAGCTCTGAGACCATCTCCAGGTGATCAACACCTAAAGATTGTTCCAAAATACAACTTGCAATGCTTTGCTTGCAACCTTGGCTTTTATTTTGTAAACACTACAGAAAAAACCAGCAACTCTAACACAATCAAACATATTATATTGGACAGATGAAACTAGGAAAACACCAAATGCTGAAATGAATGACTACACCTATATTGGAGAAGAAATCCCAGGGCACTTGTTCAACCCCTGGAAAAGCCAATTCTATAGATAAGCTTTTATTTATGGAGAACAATGGGATCAACCTGAAGGCACGGGGAAGAAAGGAAGGGTGAGGAGGGAGGCAGCTTAAAGGAAATTTCTTGAGACAATATTCTCTTACGTATCCTTGAGCTTCTGCACAAAACAGGGGAAAAAAAAGAAAGAAATTTTACTGCTTAGCTCAGAAAGAATCTCAGGGTTAACTAAAAAAAAAAAGCTACTTCTCAAAATCAGTTTCACTTAATTCGAACAGAGTGGCTGACAAGACACTAATGAAGAATCTCCTCTACCAGAGCTGTGTTCCTTGTCCTGCTGACACATTTCCCACTGTTAGAACAGACATGGACTGTGATTCCAGCCAGCTGTATGTCAATGGACATGGAACAGCCCAGAGAAGGGAACTGCTTTGGAGGAATATTAGATATTTATTGCAGTGTACTACATCCAAAAAAAAGAGCTTCCTAGGCCAGGTGCATAAGTCCTTGCCAGACAAGGCCCAAAGAACAAGACAACATCTGTCACAATGGAAGAGCACGAGGGATTTAGAATGAAGGATTCAGAATGAAGGATTCAGAATGTTGCACTGGATAAACTCCTAATTAATGGGTGTCCCTCCAGAAGAGGATGGGGCAGGCTGGAACAATTACCATGGAACAGCTGTTGGGTGTCCTTGGATTAATCCTGCAGACCAGACCAACGTCAAAGCCATCACTGTCAGTGACAACTAACCAGAAAAATCTGTTTATAATGCATCAAAAGCAATTTACTGCTCAGTGCCTCTGCTGAGGCAGCAATCAGAATGCTTTGGAAACAGCAACAAAACCTTATAAAAGTCAATTTTGGTTTTAATTCTTAAAAAGCTCAGAGTTGCAAGCCCAGCCAAATAACCAGGCTCAATGCTGCATCTGTTTTTCAGAATATTTCTTGCAGGTTTGTGTCTTAATATCATTTCAAGCTCTTATTTTGCTTCATTGTGCAGAGAAGATTTCTTATGGTATCAGTATTGTTTTCCCTGGGAGGAATTCCCAGTGCTTAAAATTAGAAATCTCACTGTAAGGGGCTCCTGAAATATAACTGAAGAAAATACACAAACAACTGTTCCTTCACTCTGCAGCAGCTTCTGCACAAGTGAGTATTTCTACTCAGAGCTGCTGCTGTGGAAGTTTGCACACCAGGATACACATAAATACACAGAACAAGGACTAGAATCTGCCTTTGCACTTCCAGCATAAATTAGAGACTTTTTCTACAGCCTATTACTGGGGAACAACACTCGATAGAACTCGTTTATTAAAGCTGCTGAAACACAGCATTGGTCTTAGTTTATAAAAAGCCCAACAATCTATTAAGGTGTAGCTCCATAAATTTGATCAGAGCAGGGCCAACATCCAGCTCTCCTTATGACCCGAGCCCACAGTTTATGGCTGGGGCTGCAACAACAGTTCATAGGGAGTTTTTCTTATTTAGACAAGCACTCTAATGGAATCCATCTCCCCCTGTGCCAACACGAGGCTGCTGTTTGATGTCTGCTTTTACCAGCACTGCCCTTGATCTAAAAATACAGCTTTATTTTTCATGTGAATCACTCCCCTGAGTGGTTCAGTGCACATTCACACAGAGGTGGGCCAGCACAACACAGGAGGCTGTGGAGGGATGGGAATAACCCATCAAGGACTGCCTGAGGAGCAAACACAGCACTGCTGAGTGTCTGCTCACAACCTCAGCAGCCAAATAAACACTCCTGAATATTTCTGCCTCATTTTCTACAGCTGCAATTTAAAGAAAACAATCACGTTGCCCTTTTTCTCAAAAAAAAAAAAATCTTTTGAGTAACTTGGAGTTTTAAAAGCTCTGAATAAATGAATGTACAGCACTGTTTGCAGACTGTGACTGCAGTATTTTTTCTTAAAAGATGCATCATTTAACAGATTCTTTTAACAATCAGAATGTTTCACTTTTAAAAATAAATTTGGAGCCATGAACACCAAGTACAGTGAGAAGAGTTGGAGCAGCAATTCAGGAATGGCCCATCCCCATGGTTTTACTACAGAGATGCAAGGTGGTGCAGGGCAAGACAGTTGTAACAGCTGTGTAAGCTTCTAATTCTTCTCTGGATTCAGGATTTCTCAAGCTCTGCTTGTAAGAGATACCAAAAATATTTTGTTGTAAAAAATAGCTACATTTGAAAGACTGTTCATATAATCAGAAAGCTCTTTTGGAACATAAACAAAGAATTGCCAATCTAATACTTATGGTGATAGTGAGAGACAGAATCCCTCTGTTTGGTCAGATATAATCACAAGCCAAGCTGAAGGGCAGAATTGCTCAATACCACTGGAAAAAAACCTACAGAAAGATGAGAGCTGCAGCTGCCTCAGTACTTTCTCTAAAGAAATCTTTCCAGCTTTCATCAGTTACTATTTTGCACTCTCATAACACCTTTAAGTGGAATTCCACAAAGCTGAATGCAAAGATTCAACAGTCCCAATTCTTTTGCTCATTTGACAGAAGGCAAAGATCAAGGTGTAAAATTAAATGATTATGCAACAATACAATGGAAACAAGAGCAACATGAAAATTAAGACACCCAATTTCCAGGCCTGCTGCTCTAGAATTTCTGGGGTTTAATTCCATGACATAATTTCCCTCCGTTTTTAGCATTTTTTCTTGAAACTCTCAAGTTGCCTTCAAGTTCCAGGCTACTGCAGCAGCCTCAGCGTGACTCATGATGACAGTGCTCCTTGTGCAAGCAATAAATACAAGGAGAAAAAAGGGACTGTTCAGTCTAAACTGGAAAAGACACAAGGGCAAGGAGATGTTTTTGTGTGATGAGGAGGTCAAAGACAGTGACTATTTCCCCCTGTTCAGCACCTGAGAGCTGCATGAGGAGAGTGCCCTGCTTTGGTGTGTCCCCCCTGTGCAAAAAAAAATCCCAAAATTAAACAAACTCCCTCCTACAACAATACCAAGACACTGACTTCCCAGAGGGTCCCAAGATGGTCAGGACCCTGGAGTTGCAATAAAAGAAATTCTAATCAAATACAGGACAAATGTTTCCAGTATGAGTGTAGTTAAACACCAGGACAGGGAGCCAGAGACGAGTTTTATGTTGGGAGGCAGGTTTTAATGCAGCATCTTTACTCTCCCAATATTTGCCAACTAAAGTTGAAAAAAAAAACAGAAAAAAATCCAGAAATCAGTAGAAAGCCTTCCACTATCTGCCACAAGAATAACAACCAGCAGAAATTCACTGGATTACTCACGTGAACAGTCTAATCCTGAAAGTGATTTAACAAGTTTTATCAAAGTCAGAGCAAAAAAAGTTCTTTTTTCTAACTACTTGATGACCATAATATCTTAGAACCCTGAAAACCAACTGCTGTCAAGTGACACCACTGACTGAGAGTCAAAAAATTGGTTCACACAGACTCACAGGAGAGTAAACACCATTCCAAAGGCTGCTGGACTTCCCCTAAGACCCAGTTCCTTACTCCCCACAACATATTACCCAAACATTTTGTCCAATGTAACTGCACTGAAAGTAAACAAACCCACACATTTAATGTGTTTTGTTTGATTAAAGCTCAAGTAATCCATAGGGATACATTCAAATTGAATCCCAGTTAGCTGGATTATATAAACCAGCCTTCCAGGAAAACTATGCTCAAACCTGCTGTGAGTTTTGGAAAAGCACCTTGCAGCTGATTGGGGGAAACAATGGATGCACACACACTAAGTAACATGGAACAGGGAGATTTTTGTTTCTTGTAATCTCTGAGTCACAGTCACTTCTCTCACTGCTCAATGCAGACAAAAATCTGCAGTGGAATGTGATGATTAAGAGCAGCAAGGAAAGCTACAGAAATACTTGTTACCTAAAAGAGGAAATTAAGAACAGTAAAAGCAGACCCATGAGGGCTCTAAAGGTCCATTTTCGTGTCAGTCACAGACCATTCGAAAACTCTGCACTGAAAATCTCTCTGTTTACATTCAGCACTGGTGCTTTGGATTACCTGTTTCTCTTCCTCTGGCATATCTTTCTCTAGTTCTAGTAAGTATTCTTCATCTAGTTCTGTCTGCTTCCTCGAGCTACTCCCACCGTTCTGTACATTCCCTTCATCATCCAGCACAGCTTCCTTTGCCTCAAAGGAGTCCTGACAGTCATGGAAACACTCATCTGTTGTGGGATCTTGGCCTGGGGATGGGGCACATCCACTCCCAGTGGTCTGGGGGTTCTGGGCATCTCTGGTGCCAGTCTCTGCAGATTTCTGGTCAGAAAGCTTTAAGTGACTGAGCAACTCTTCAGGTGGACTTGCATCTTTAAATTCTTCCATGCTGGACGCCTGGGAGGGGGTTTAGAAATGAGAAAGAAATAACCCTCAATAAGGGTCATATAAAACACTTGTCAGCAAACAAATCACAGTGTGGGTCAGGTTAGAAGGGACCACAGAGGCTCATCTGGTCCCACCTCCCTGCTCAAGCAAGGCCATCTCAGAGCACATGGCATGGGATTGCATCCAAAAGGTTCTGGAATATCTCCAGTGGGGGAGACCCCACACCCTCTCTGGGCAATGTGTTCCAGTGCTCGGTCACTGCACAGGAAAGAAGCTCTTCCTCATGTTCATGTGGAACTTCCTGGGCATCAGTTCCTGCCCGTTGCCTCCTGTCCCATTGCTGGGCACCCCCGAGCAGAGCCTGGTCCATCCTGACACCTCCCCTTTAGATATTTATACACATATAAACTTATTTAACGCAATTATTTATTTTATACACGTTTGTAAGCCTCTAAAGTACTTAAAAATACTTTTGGCATCCCCTGAGGGAAACTGTGACCCTTCAGGAAAGGAACAACTTATTCACGACTCTAAGCACTGCAGCGACACGCGTCCAGGACACTGCGGCCATGAGTAAGTGAATTCCCAAGCTCAGATTCCCAAGCCCGGCCCAGCACCGAGAGGCTGAGCCCATACACAGCCTCCAGCGCTCCTCGCCCACCCCAACCGCCCCACGGCCCCTCCGCCGCACCACCACCCCCCGGGGGGTGCCGTGCGCGGCTCCCAGGTGCACCGCAGCGCTGTCCCGGCGCTGGGGCGCAGGGCGGACCCGCGGCCATCGCTCCAGACCCCGCCAGACCCCCCAAACACCCCCCGGTACCCCCGAGCCCCAGGCCCCGCACTCACCTGCGCCGGCCGCGCTTCCGGCTTCCGGCGTCCGCCCCGCCCCCTGCGTCCGCGGCCGCCGCTTCCGCCGGAACAACCAATGGGCGAGGAGGCGGCGCGCGGAGGCTGCCGGGAATTGTAGTCCCGCGGGGCGGGGCGCGCGCCTGCCTCAGGCGGAGGGCGGGAACGGGCTGAGGGGGCGTGAGGGGAGCGCAGGGGAGGGTGGCGGAAGTGATATAACTTGCCTGTATTTTTAATTAATAGCAACAGGTGGCTGGGTTTCCCTTGTCAGTTTGATCTTTAAGCCACCGAAGCTTTGAGTTTCTCTGGACTGGTTCTGATGAGCTTCGGTTAACGAAGCTTGAGGGAGATGAATGTTGGACAGCTGGGATCTTAAATGTACGGTCCTTCAAAGACATAACCAGAAGATGCAGAGGGGATTGACAGCCTGAAAGTTGGACACTCTCTGTCTAAGGAAGAATAATAAGAGAACCAACGAATGGGGACCAGGTTAACCAATAAAGAATGGAGCAATTAAATTAATTAGATGAATTATTAAATTATGAATTAAATTATGAGAATTGTGTAACTTAGAACCAGTCAACGTTAATTTCTTTGTTTCAAATCAGACCATGAAGGGAGGCTTAAATTTTGCCAGTAAATGGAATAAAACTCTTAGATTCAAACAGCCAGAGACTTAGGAGGTTATGCACTTGAGTTTTGCACTTTAGACGTTCTTAAATACTAAAATAATTAAATACTTAAATATTTACAGCAGAAAATTCATAAGGTAGAGCCAACGTGAGGCCCACAGACTGAGCTGTGTAACAATTTGTGTTGCTAAAACTCAGCGCTCTGGAAAATAGCTTCTATTATTATTATTATTATTATTATTATTATTATTAAACTTGTGTTTTGCAGAAGAGGTGAATAATTTTAGAAATGAAGACTAGGTGAAAGAGTTTCTACTTAGAGAATACGTGTTACATCTGGAAGCTCTCAGTCAAAGAAGGAGCTTTTTTTAACAGGTTCTAGTCCCGAGTTTCCTGAACAGCATTTCCTCTCTTCTTTTTTAAAAATAAAGCAGAACAAAACTTTAAGACACATGAATTTCAGTGGAAACCAAATTGCCACTTTAAGCATTTACAAGTTTATGGAGGGGATTTTTAAAGGTGGCAGCAGCAGAATACAGTTACTTAACCTGCTTTTCTGTAAACTTGCCAGTTGGCTTTATTGTAAAAAACCGATGTTTTGACAAAGCAAACGGAGCTTTGGGGACTCGTCACTTCTGGAAGAGACAGTAGAAATCCCAGGAGATCCAAGTTCTCTTGCTGCCTTAGGGAAAAGTCTTACTGCTTAAGAGGCTGGATTTGTGGTGTGTAAAATCCAGGGAACTCTTTGCTGGATTAGAGTATTTGTGACTCTCCCACGCAATAGAAATCCAATAGATGGCGGTGTTGGATTTTCCAATTTCCCTGTAAAACGGATCCAGTTTAGTGAAATCAGGGCTGAATCTCCACTGTGTTACAGTACTGTCAGACTGGACTCTGAGCTGACCAGGAGAGGGATGAACTGTTGCACAATTACCTCAGGCTCCAGACCATATGTTAAATTTACTTCTTGGGACAGCTTTTTAGATCTTTACAGTGCAGAAACCAAAGCTCAACAAATCAAGCACAGAAAAAATAATTACCATTTTCCAGAGGTCGTAGAAAGTTCAGGTTCTTCACTAGAATTAAACATTTGCACACAAGTCTCAGTGGAATCAGATTATTGTGCTTCCCAAAGAACATTTGAAAGGAAGTTGTGAAATAGGCAATTAAAGGCTTTTTAATCACAGCTATAAATTAAAGTTTTACTACATCCGCCTTTTAGGCTGGCTTATTAAAGAAATTGTGAACGATTCTTATTAATTTTGAACATCCTTTCTCTTTCTCTCTAAGTCTTGGCTGGAGTCCTATAAAGATTGTGAGAATTACTAGATAGGGAGCATATTCTTCACTGGTCAAGTTAAGATGTTTTGATATAAAAAATTTCCAGTAACAACTTCAGACTTCCTTTCCCTATCACCTTCCACTTGTCTGAACAACCATATCCCACTATTTTTGTCAAGTTTTCCATTATTTTCACTGGTTTGACTCCACGGGGTATAAAATAAGGATCCAGCCTTATTTTATGAAGACAATTCTTTGCCTTTATCACTTTTTGCATATTTTGCAGAGGCAAGATGCTCATTATTCAGCAGGTGTAAATGAATTTGCCTCATTTGAGCTCAAAACTGTGCCAATCACATCATTAGAGTTTCTAAAGCAGGATTTGCCATGGTGTTGTCACTGACTCATCTGCTGGGATTTTGTGCCCTACCTGTGGCTTTGATTTGGGCCTTGCTGCTTCTTATACCCTCAGTAGTGGTGCTGATGGAAACGTGAAGTGACTAATGTTTGCAATCTCCTTGGAGGAATAAATAAAAAATGCAACTTTAATTTTAAACTAACTTTAATTAATGAAATTTTGGCTATTCTAGGAAAAAATGAAGCCATAGATTATAACTGAGTAGAAATGGAACCTACCTTTCTGCTGTTTACAGCCCAGGCAGGAGAACAGAGGGGTGCAGGAGCATCTGTCCATGTTGTGGTGACATAAATTGACATAATAACCCTGCTTTTTCCTGCAGAGACACTTTGTTTTTCTCCTCATTTTAGTGACAGACCAACCAGATAAACACAATACAACAAGTTATCATGTCATTAAGATGAACAAACGCTGATTTATGGATTTACAACCTTTATCTTTCAGCACTTCTCCCTTTCTCTTGGTGTTTTCAGCACTCTCATTTGTCTCCCACATTATCCTCCCACATGTCCTGTTCCACATTGCCAAATCTTAGTAGGTAAACAAGCCCATGTGACTTGATTGGCCCTGGGCTGTGTGTGCTGACTCACCAGTCAGAATGTGCAAGTTAGAAGCCAGCAGGCTTTGAGATTGATCAAGGGACAGCTTTAGAAAGGTCTCCTAAGAAAAGGCTCTAATTGGGTTCTCTTCCCTCTCTTTAGGGAAGTGAAACACAAAACCATTAAGGCAGAGGCAGGATTTTCCCAGGTTGGTGCCCTGACCTCTGTCACCACTTCAAGTGTTTTCACTGCTCCTTGGAATCATGACTTAGCGTTTGCACAAGTAACTAGGACCACTCCCAGTCCCAAAAAAAATCGTAGTGGGTGGAAACATTTTTGGGTTCCTTTAAAGTGACATAAACCAGCATGGCGTGTGTCCTTATTCTGAAGTGTTTCTTTCTGAGCACTTCAGGGTAAAACTGGTGTTTGTGGGATGCACCATCCCCACAGGACCGTGTTCTGCCCTGTGGAGTGATGAGCCAGAGCACTGCAGGGGGGTTGGGAAGGAGGTGAGCAAATCTGTTGTTGGATGTATCAAAGCAGAATCCAGTGTATTCTCGTGGGAATGAGCTGGTAAATTTGTGGGATAAGGAATAAGTGGATGCCAGTATACCAATAGTTCTGTGGATGATTATCTCCTGTGCTGTGCAATTTTATGCTCATTTCTGTGAGGGGAAAGTCAAGCACAGAAACTGAGAGCTCAGAGCTCATCTGTTGAATAAGAAGTTGCTGTTTTGACATTTTTTCAAACTAGAACTGTACTTTATAATATTAATATCCCCTCTTCTCTCCCTGGCACATTTGGAAAGATAATAGAAAATTGCATTCCCAGAGAGTAAAGAATGTAGAATGCTTTACAGTTTCAGTCTCATTCAGCTGGATTGATTTTACCATAACACTTTTCAAAAATAAGCAGCACTTTTGTGATAGCTGAGTGCACTGAAGCCTAATGGGTTTAATTTGTGTGCAGCTGGGCTGTACCAAAGCTCCCTGAGCCATTACAGCTGTGGCTCTCCCCTGAATGGCTTTGGACAAGCCCCTAGGTAGGGATTAAGCTCCGCACAGTAGCTTAGCCTGGAGAAATTCACAGTGTTTTATGAACCCCTTCTGTGTTAAATGGCAAAAGCTCCTCTTTGGAGGCAAATCTATTTGGGGTTCATCAGAAGGCCTGTTAATAAGCATAAAAAATACCCGTGATGGAGTGTAGTTGCATTGGACAGACCATCATCATGTGCCACTGCACTGGATCCTGGATGTTCTGCTTGGCAAAATAATTTTGGCTGTACTAAAATATGGGCTAATATGGGCTTGTCCCACAAGGGTTTATGATCATGCCCTGGTCCAAATAGTTTTTCCTTTAAAGGAAAACATTGCAACAAATGAAGGACTAACAAAAGGAAGAGGGTGATTTGTATGGCCTCATTTGGGCTAGCCTTGCCTGGTGGAGGTTGTAAAATATTCCAGTGGTAAAAATAAAGATATTTAGAATAGATTTGTTCTGGAGAAGTCAGGTGGTCCTGCGAAAGTTTCATATTTTAAGGTGGCATATGAGACTTTCTCCTCTGTAACCTTCATAGTCCTGCCTTCAGATCCACGTGGGGTTTTTTCCCATTTTATATAATCAGTTTTATTGCCTGTACCTCCAGCGAAGCTGTGGCTGGAGGTGAAGCAGGTATTGTTGGCAACTTATGAGCAAATGTGATGGGACTTTTGAAATCTTCCATAGTTTACATATTTGTATGGATGGGACCCCACTGGTACAGTGTTGCTGTACCAAAAGGGGAATTCGTGAGACAAAAAGTGAAGAGCTTCAAAGAAGAGAGAAGACATGTAATGTCACACATGGCTATAAAGAGCTTGGAGAAATGTATTTTAGAGAAATATTAGGAATCTTCCCATCTTATGTTTGCTACACCTACAAGCTGTAGGCTCTCTAGTATTGAAATTTAATTTTAAGAACGAGACACAGTTTATTAAAATTCTATTTGAAGTATAAATTAGGTATTGCAGGACATGTGTCTTTGGGTCTTTTGCTCTCTGACGATTTTGGTATCTGATTTGTGTGTTTTGAGGCACTGAATGTGTTGTTAATGCATGTCTTCTCCTGATCAGTTACAAGGTTTACAGAATGCTGGTTTTTCCAGTACTAAAATGGCTGAAATTCTCTTTTTATACATTTGAAAGAA